AAAATGGCATGTCAGATTTTGGAAGGTAGAATGTTGGGAACGACATATCCATCCTGCGGAATTTGGTATGTGAGCAGGTGGACGTGGCTATAGAAGAGATCCGAGTAGAAGTCATGGATAATCTTCTCCATTGCCTTTCTGAAAGATGTGATAGGTCCATCAGGACGTCGGAGGGCAGTCATCTTGGTCTTGTAGTTAGTGAAGGACAGGCAGGTGTTGCGAATGCTTTTCCCAGCTTCTGCTGCATCTGCCAGCACTGCTGCTCTTCTCTCTTTGAGGTCTTCCTTTATCGCTTTTCTGCACTGTTTTGCGAGCTTGGATGTTTGCTTGCATCATCCAGCATCATTAAGAAGTGGAAAAATCCAAACTCAAACCATGTGCATCATAATTTAGAATGGTTTAAGGAAAAAGTCAGACTATCAAGTGCTAATTATGTATGGAACAAAGAGTTAGGCATATGCCTAGAAGGTGAACTGTATGGTCCATGCACTGCTGCTGTTGTCCCTCTTAGGTTTCTACCCAAGGGAAAAGAAAACTATGAGCGATAGCACGGCGGGTAGGGCATTTGCCTTGCATGCGGCTGACCCAGGTTCAATTCCTCCGTCCTTGTCAGAGAGCTCGGCAAGCTACCAAGAGTATCCCACCCTGATGGCAGAGCCTGGCAAGCTCCCCATGGCGTATTTAGATATGCCAAAAAAAGTAACAACAAGTCTCACAATGGAGATGTTACTGGTGCCTGCTCGAGCAAATCGATGAGCAATGGGAAGACAGTGCTACATAAAAGTATTAATCTGAATATTTGCAGTAATTTTACTCATAAAAGCCCAAATCTTGAAATAACTCAGTAGAACAGCATTTCTCAACTTAGGACTATATTTCTCAGGATATTCCAAAGAGACCAGGGGTGAAAGTCCTATAAATGGTGGTTATGAGACTAGGTGGCCACTCTATAGGACAAGAAGGAAAGACTGTCAGAAAGTGACAGCAGAGGGAGAAAGGCCAAGAAATGCTAATCTAGTCCGTGAATAGGTAAACAGATAATGGCTTATTTAGCCAATAGAATGTTCAGCATTAAAAAAAAAAAGTGGATATCAATTTTTTTTTGCTTTTTTGGGGTCACACCCGGCAATGCACAGGGATTACTCAGGAATTACTCCTGGTGGTGCTCAGGGGACCATATGGGATGCTGGGAATTGAACCTGGGTCGACCACGTGCAAGGCAAACGCCCTACCCACTGTGCTATCGCTCCAGCCCCTGAATATTAAAATTTTTATTTAAAAAGAATCAGGGCATTTATAGATTAAACACAAGTGAAAAAAAAGTTATGCTGAGTAAAATCTACCTACCGTCTGATTGTGTTTCTGTGACGGTATTGCAAAAACAAAACCATAGGGACAGGAAACAGATTTATGGTTGCTCAGGTCTGGAATGCAGGTTAATTACAGAAGGAAGATTTTTGTGTGAGGTATTTGTACTACATATTGATTATATTGATTATAGTAGTGATTACATGACTAATGCTATTTTTTTCAAAAGTCAGCATTGTATGCTAATTTGGCTCAGTTTGATAGTATGAAAGTTAAACCTTTAAGAAGTATAAAGTGTATCTTAATAAAATATTCTATCCAAAATATCCAAAGGCTAAACTTTGCTAGATGAAAAAAGAATTGTTTCAAAAAGAAATTGAGTTTTTAAAAAGTTGAACTTTTTAGTTCAAGTTGTATGATTGCATTAACTCTATATATTCCATTACAAGCATAATATAACTTTAAAAAGTAAGGAGCTTAAGAGATAGCATAGTGAGTAAGGTGTTTACCTTGTATACATCTGACCCAGGTTCGATCCCTGGCATCCCATTTGATCCTCCAAATCCACCAGAAGTGAACCCTGAGTACAAACTCTGAACACATCTGGGTGTTGCTAAAAAAAAAAAAAGTAATATAGGACTCGGGAGATAGCCCACGTGGTAAAGAATTTATTTGCAAGGTCCAGAGTTCTATCCTTGGCATCACATGCCCCACCACATCCCACCTCCCCCACACATACACACTCCTTAAATAACCATCTCCAATATATGAGGCTCTTTAGGACTGGTTTCATACCTCAGACACCTACATGATGATCTGTGATAAAATTCTGCTGCTTCTCTCAGTGGTGTCCATCTGCGTGAGGGTGAGCACAGGACATGAGTTTATTTCTTTGTTCAGCATTTCAAGACACCCTTGGCACACTGTCACTGCAAACCTCTGAGTGAGAGTCACAGACTGTCTTCTGGTGCAGCCGGAGCACACTCCTTCTTTCTGCCCTGACCTAGAATCCTGGTTTCTTTTCTCTGTATCCCTGTCAACTTCAATCACTAATCAAGGGCACCCATGCCATTTGGTTCCATTATGACACCCTTTCCCAAGAATTAAATTCATTAGACTTATTCTATTTCTCCCAGTGGCTCACACTTGAATATGGTTTAACTAAGACAAATGGCAGCACAGCATCAAACTGTTAAGTCATTTTAGCAGTGGTCAGATTCAGCACAGCGAGCAGGACATCTGCTTTTTCTTTTTAAAAGAAATATTATTTAACTCAATTTTTTTGTTTTGTTTTGTTTGCATTGGAAAATAGAGCACACTTTGCAGATAGAGAAGACGACAAAAAGTCTTCCTGAAAAAAAATTTTAGAAGTGGTCAAACTGTTCCTAAAACTTGGATCTTTTAAATACGTGCCTTGCAATTTTAAGACTTCAGGTTTCTTTCCGTCAGTGATGAGCAATTTTGTGAGCTTGTCACGCAGGGACACTGTGGAGTCAGTGTGACCCTGTTCTCTGCTGAATAGAACATGCTTCTTTTTATGCAGCTAATGGTTGTTCCCTCTCCTGGTACAAAAGAAAATGCAGGTTTGTAATGAATTTGGAAGGTTTGATCTTCCGTGTACACTGAAAAAGAAAGGTTTTCCTTGAATGTGGAAAGAATAGAATCGAATCCCAGAGTAAAATTCTATACAAATGCTTCTTTTTAAGTCTATTTTGAAACATGCCCTTATAGAAACAGTATCTTTGAAACATACTCTTATAGAAACAGTATCTTATATTATGTTTAGCTTGAACAGTCAGTCCCTGAAGCCTGTTGGGGGACCAGAAAGTCTTGGTAAAGTATGAAGTCTTGTCTCTATAATCAGACTGCCCACATTCCTGTCTTAGCTCTGTCACTATGTAAGTAACTTTTACCACTCTGTGGCCCAGTAAAAATTTCCCATCTTTAATGATGATGATGATGATGATAATAATTATTATTACTATAATGTCATTTCAGAGGGTGGTAAGGTAGAGAGAGAGAGTACTTGTAAGTGGATTAGAATTGTTAGACTAGGTCTAATTAGAATTAGACCCCTGTAGAGGGGTCGGAGCAACAGTAAAGTATATTACTGTAAAACAAAAACATGACCTCATTAATGCAAGGGCCTTTGCCTCGTATGCGATTTAACTCTTAGCATTCCCTGAATAGGGTCCCCTGAACATTGCCAGGTGTGGTCCCTGAGCACAGAGCTAGAAGTAACCCCTAAGCATTGCTAAGTGTGGTTCCTGCCCCACCCCCCAAATTAGGCCTGTAGGAAGTATGTACTCAGCTTATTTTATGTATTATTTATTCCATAATGCATCAGAATTGTTCAGGAGTACAATGAAATCATATAATGACCATGTTGGGAAAAAATATTTTGAGAAAATAATGTGTTTGATACTTCAGACTAAGATGTTAAGAATATTCATTCCCGGTGCTGGAGTCATAGTATAGCGGGTAGGGCATTTGCCCTGCACGTGGCCGATCTGGGTTTGAATCCCAGCATCCCATATGGTCCCCCTAATACCACCAGGAGTGATTCCTGAGTGGAGAGCCAAGAATAACCACTGAGCATCACTGGGTGTGACCCAAAGAGCCAAAAAAAAAAAAAGAATATTCTTTCCCTCACTTCTTTCTCTCCATCTGTTTCAGTTAGCAGAATTTAGAAAGAAGGACCATTTAGTTCCCAGGCAATGTGAATGGAATAATTGGGTCAGGTTCAGGAGCAAGGGCAGCTGATACAAAAACCCCAGGGGGAGAGGTCTGAGAAAAGAGAAAAGCTACATACATGTCAGAGATTGGGAGCTCCTATTCTATGAAGTCAAAGCTTCTTTGGGTCTAGGGCTGCTTATCTAGCTATCTCCCCTTTCAGAATCTACTGCTAGTACCACTATTTCTATGTTTTACGGTGATGTAGCTCCTTAAAATGTTTTCTCTCCTCTTCAGGTTACCTAACTTTGGGGAATCTGGATGTGAAATTTTTCTGTCCCATGTTTTATCCTCTCATTTACGTGTTAGGAGGCTAAAGAGCCTTGCAACCATGATATTGAAAAAATAGTTTTCTAAAATATTACTTGTAATTTTTATTTCAGTGTATTCTAAAACTATGCAAGAAAGAAGGCTTGTTTGAAAATCAATGCAGATACTGGGACAGAACAATAGTACTTGTAGTTTGCTTATCTTGTATACAGCATACCTGGGTTCGATCCCCAGCACTCCATATGGCCCTAGAAGCCCTCCAAGAGTGATTCCTGAGTGCAGAGCCAGGAGTAAGCCCTGAGCACTGCCAGATGTGCCACCCCCAAATTAATGAAGATAATAAATAATTTATAACTGTGTATTGAGAACCTATAATCCACATTAAACTCTCAAAGATCTTAAAATGTGAAAATATTTTGTATAATCATCTTTGAATTTAAAAATTAAGCCTAGAGCTTCTCCAAACTCTTTTTTGAAAATGTTTCAATAATTAATTGTAATAATATTGAAAACTTTTCAATAATTAATTGTATGTTATAAGTTTATCTCATCTATCTAGAACCATAAAAATGTAGGAGTAACCCTTTGAAACAAAGCTTGAAACAATACTTTAAAATGTGTTTGGAACCCTTTTATAGCAAGTTCTTAAAGCATTCCCATTTTAATGTCTCTCTTGACTTTTTTGATAGTTGTGCAGTGGAGGATCGGTGACTGATCTTGTTAAAGGATTTCTGAAGAAAGGCAAAAGAATGAGTGAGCCCATAATTGCCTATATTTTGCATGAAGCACTTAAGGTAAGGCAATTTGAATTGTTCATTCATTACAAGGCCATATAGTTCAACAAAAATTGTGGAAACTATTTTTTTATATTTGGGGACCATATCCAGCAGTGCTTTGGGGGTTCTCTGAGCTCTGTCCCTGGGGGTTGTTCCTGATGGTGCTTGGGGGACCAAATGGTGCTTGGATTGAACCTGGGGCTCCCAATGTGTGTTGCATGTACTCAACCCATTGAGCTTTCTCTCAGGCCCTGGATTCTATTTTTGGAAAAACAAGGCCTCATTAATATTTATGGATACTAAAGAGTATATGCAAAGTATCAAATCATTAGCATAGGTACTTCCTTCTCTTTTTTCTTGTTCTGATTTTAGAAATCTTCCCTTTTTGAGTAAACAAAACTCTGAATTTTGATCTTTAAAAGTATATTTCTAGGGGCTGGAGAAATAGCACAGCAGGTAGGGCGTTTGCCTTGCATGCGGCAGACCCAGGTTCGATTCCCAGCATCCCATATGGTACCCCGAGCACCACCAGGAGAGATTCCTGAGTGCATGAACCAGGAGTAACTCCTATGCATCGCCGGGTGTGACCCAAAAAAGAAAAAAAAAAAAGGATATTTCTAAAATTATGATGCAGGAAGATAATGTGTATTATTTTACTAGAAGTCAGGTTTTTATTTGACAGTATTTTAAATAAGTATAGAACGGTTCTTTGTATTGTCATCCACATGTTTTTAATAAAATGTTTGAAAAGAACTGCAGTGCATGCTCCTGTTTTATTAATTTTTATATAGTTCAATTTAATAAACTCAATGTGAAACAGTGTTTGAATGTCATTTTTGACAAGTGTTTCCTATTGATTTTGCACAGATGAGTTCATGTGAGAAGTGGGGGTTTTTGTGCTTTATTTTTTGAACTTTTACATTTTATTGTTGTTCAGATAGTGACAGTTTTAATGCTTATGGTTTTGAGCCCTTGCAACACCACAAAAGTGCCCAAGACCGTCTACCACTGTCCTATGAATTCTTTGATAAGCTCATTCTCCTTCCCTCCCCCCACTGTTTAGTAATCGCAGTTTTGTAATCCAAACCCAAGGTTCTATCATCATTTGATACTATCTATTCCTGTGTTTTGTTCTTCTGTATACCCCAGATGAGTGACATCATCTGGTATATGTTCTTCTCCCTCTGATTTATTTCATGTAACATGACACCCTCCGGTTTCATGTGAGTTTCAGTGAGCTAAAGTCTTTATATGTTTCCTGTCTTCCAGGGACTTCAACACTTACATAGCAACAAAACTATTCACCGTGATGTGAAAGGAAACAACATCCTGTTGACCACAGAAGGGGGAGTTAAACTGGTTGATTTTGGTATGTTTTCTCTGACCTACATGAATTTGAGGTGCATCTTAAAATGGTATGATATGTGATTGTTTTCCATTAGTCTTCTAGGCATGACATTTGAATTTCGAAAAGCAACTAGCAATACGTACTTCCTGTTTCTCCTACTCAGGGATTTACTGCTGGACATTACTGCTCAGTGGATTTCAAAAGCTCAGCTGAAAACCAGAAGCATAAATTTGGTTGTTCAAAGATTATCTATTAATTCTAGTAATTCTATTAATACTAGTTGTGAGTACAGCCTTTAAGAAAATATTTGTGTATGTTAAGTGAGATATGTTTTTACAGAAAATTACCAGACACCTCAGAGAGAATATGTCAGCAGGTAAATGTTTTTAATGAAATACCTTAGCAGTCACTGGAATATGATCAATCAAATAATAACATGACTCACATGATATAAACCCTGTCAGGCAAGTCACCTAATGTCTGATAAAGCAACCCTAATTTGGAATATAAAATTTAAAAAAAGGGACTAAATTAAAGGGCAGTTTTCAACTTCCTTTTCTGTGGGTTTCTCTCCAGGGAACTTCATTTCTAATAGGATAGTTGGCATTTCAATATAAAAGTACAGAATGTACTTTCAGTGATTTATTTAGACATCTTTTGTAAGACAGAATATTTTACAACATTAAATCTCATATTACCTACATATCTAATTTTAGATCAAAGGCTTAATGAATGATGTAAGTCAAGGAGAAGTTATGATTTATTTATCAATAAACGCCTTTCTTAAAACATCAGGTTAGGTAGATAAACCTGTACTTTAAAACTATGAAATTCCCTTCATTCCTTTCTCTCTTAAATAATTCAGAACAAATGCCATTAGGTGAGTTTGAGCAAGTATAGAAGTAGAGGATCGGAGGGTTCAGTCATCTGTGGTCGGGACAGTGTAAGAGTGAGGAAGATGTTCTTACTGGAAGACTGGTAGTGGTGGCTTGGCTGAGACACTGAGTCCCCAGGTAAGATTAGTAGCTCATCTGAATAGGGAAATGGTAGTCTGATCCCACACAAGCTGACACAGTACCTGTGAGTAAGGAGAATATCTGTCTAAGGGTCAAGATGGAAATAAGAGAGTGAATGCATAAAGAGTTAATACCATCAAAATATATACTGAGGATACTAGAATATCATTTCCTTAATGCTAGAGAAAATAAATGCTAATATGGAAAGGGAGAATATTATACTAATGGTGTTAATTTGAAATTGGAGGCATTAAAATGAATTCATAGTTTTCAATATACAGATCCACCACGCACCACCACCACCAATGTTCAAATATTCCTATTTGATATGATTTCGTAGGTTTCTTTTGAGGGTCTAGGAATACTATTTTCAGTAATTTTTATGAGATTTAAAAAAAATATTTTTAATTTTTTTATTTTATAAAGTAGTTCACAATATTTGATTACATTTAATATTCAAACAACAATCCCACCATAATTACACCTTTCCATCACCATATTTCAGACGTTTTCATCCCAAACCCCAATACCTGCCTCCAAGCAGAACTGAAATAATAATAATATATTTTGTATTGTTTGTTATGAAAAACCACTGAAAATGCTACAAAAAATTATCATTAGAGGAAAGAGTGTGAAGATTGTTGTTTTTCACACAGGGATCAGTAAATCCTTCTATAAGAGATCACTATCATGTTGTTAAAGATTGAGCCTTGTATGCTTATATATATATATATATATATATATATATATATATATTTGTAAAAAACAAATTTTTCCTCTAAGGTTGGTTGCCTTCTACTTTGAACCGCATCAGGTGTGGTACTCTTGGTGTAGGAGTTAGGGTGTGTCTCATGAAGTGTTGTGTGGCTGCACACTCCAGGAATAGGCTCACTCAATGGGTGAGGCTCGTCCCAAGAGTGTGGAAAGCAGCCGAGAGCATGGCAGTGGTTGAGTTCTGAAGGTTTTCAGCTGCTGGGGCTGGATCCCTTGGGGTGGGGAGGCCTCTCACTCACGCCCCTCTGGGGCGCCCTGAGTGAAACAGCTTGGCGCAGGGTCCAGGAGAATGGTTATGATGTGCGACCTGTTATGTTCCCTTCCAGGAGAGAAGGACATGCCATCTGGATGGTGGCCAATGATGATGAGGTTTTCTGGCACCAGCCAGAGGTGGCTTATGGGCGTGACTACAGAGTATATGGGATTTTTGTTTGTTTGTTTAGGTAGTAGTGAGCTTTATTTTGTTTTTTGTTTATTTGTTTGTTTCCTTTTAGACTTACAAATTTTTGTGCTTGGGTTTCAGTTATACAATGATCAAGTACCCATCCCCCCACCAGCGCCCATCCTCCACCACCACGGGTCCCAGCATCCCTCCCACCCCCATCCCACCCCATCCCACCCTGCCTCTGTGGCAGGGCATTCCCTTTTGTTCTCTCTCTCTCTCTCTCTCTCTCTCTCTCTCTCTCTCTCTCTCTCTCTCCTTTTGGGTTCTGTGGTTTGCAAGAGAGGCATTGAGTGGCAATCATGTTTGGTCTAGAGTCTGCTTTCAGCATGCTTCTCCCAACACCCTTTATTTGGTGCTCCCTTCTCTATCTGAGCTTCATTTTCCCCTAGCACGTGTGGCTGGCCTCCAAGTCATGGAGCAAAATTCCTGGTGCTAATCTCAGTCACTCCTGGGTGTTAATCTCCCATTATGTTACTTTATGTTCCCCAGATGAATGGAATGCAATCTTTCTATGTCTATCCCTTTCTTTCTGAGTCATTTAGCTTAACATGATACTTTCCATGTAGTACCACTTGTATGTAAATTTCATGACTTCATCTTTTCTAACAGCTACATAGTACTCCATTGTGTAAATGTACCAAAGTTTCTTTAATCAGTCATCTGTTCTCCGGCACTCAGGTTTTTTCCAGATTCTGGCTATTGTAAAGAGTGCTGCAATGAACAAACAGGTGCAGATGTCACTTCAACTATACATTTTTGCCTCTCTGGGATATATTCCCAGGAGCGGTATTGCTGGGTCAAATGGGAGCTCAAATTCTAATTTTTTGAGAATCGTCCATACTGTTTTCCAAAAGGGTTGGACCAGTCGGCATTCCCACCAGCAGTGAAGGAGGGTCCCTTTCTCACAACATCCGCGCCAGCACAGTTTGGGATTTTTTGAGTGTTCCCAAGCGTGGTTATATAAAAATCTAATGCTGGGTATTTAAATAAGTTCTTAACTAGAAGGAAGTGAGTATTCTAAAAAGTCTTTTTAGGGATATACAAGATGAATCTCAAATGTATTTTGCTCAAAAGAAATGTTCAAAGAATGGTGGATACATATTACAAGAACACAGAAGCTAATGTGAAACAATCACCACTGATACAATCTAGAACAACAAAAGCATAAAAAATAACATAATGGTAATTATGGTAGCCCATTGAATAAAATGAAATTCATCAATCCATATCTTTAGACTTACTTATGTAAATAAATAGCTAAAACAAGTGGTTTTCCTAACAAAGGAAATACACATATAATACACGTGTAGAAAGAGCAAGTCTTTTAAATTATCACTTAATTTCCCATTAATCGGCGATTTGCTCGAGTGGGCGCCAGTAACGTTTCCATTTGTCCCTGTCGCATGCTAATGTAGCCCAATGGCATCTGTTCACTCTGGGAACATGAAGAGCCTCAAACTGATCGTTCATGTTCTTGATGAAGAAGTCTGACCATCTGGTAGGTGGGCGGCCATGCAGTCTTTTGACATCCCGTGGAATCCAGTCAGTAACAGCTCTAGTCCAGCGGTCGACTTTAAATCTCATTAAGTGACCAGCCCATCTGATTTTTGACACCTTGGCAAACAAGACAGCATCCTGATTCTTGATTGTCGACGGAGGTCGGAACTCCAGATTCTTTCTCTCATTTGAGTGAAACGTGATATTCCAAGCATAGCTCTTTCAATTCCTCTTTGGGAGACCGGAATAGCGTTCTCATCCTGTTTGCATTAGGGCCCAGGTCTCTGAGGCATATGTTAATGCAGGAGGAACAGTGGAATCAAAGAGATGTGCCCAGAGCCGGAGGTTCTTCGTCCTCTTAGCTATTTCTTCGACGTTCTTGAAGGCGTTCCAAGCCGCTCTCTTCCTCCTGCGCAGCTCGGGTGCCAGGTCATTTGTCATGTTGACTTCTCGACCTAGGTACACATAGCTGTTGCATTCGGAGATGGTCATTCTGTTGGGAGCGAATGGGGCATCAGGAACGAGGCTGTTTCTCATAAACATTGTCTTCGTAAGATTCAGCTGTAGTCCTACCTTTCCACATTCACGGGCAAAGTCGGCTAGACTTTGCCCATCTCAACAGTTTGTGCCGCTTGGCTGATGTTTTGTGTTATTTAAACAATGTCATCAGCAAAGCGGAGGTGGTGTAGTTGCCGACCATCTATCTTCACTCCCATTCCTTCCCATTCCAGTCATTGCATGATGTTCTCGAGGGTGGCACTGAAGAGTTTTGGTGAAATGGTATCACCCTGCCAAACCCCTCTCTTGACATCGATGATTACTTCTTTGTAGAATGGTGTGATCCTGGTAGTGAATCCGCAATACAGCTCATGGAGGATCTTGATGTATTGAGCTTGAATGCCCTAATTGGCTAGGGCTTCAATGACCGCTTCCATCTCAACAGAATCAAAGGCCTTCTTTAAATCAATAAACGTAAGACAGAGCGGCATCTTGAACTCCCGAGAAACCTCAATGAGCTTGGTTATTGTGTGGATATGGTCGATGGTGCTGAATCCTTTTTGGAACCCGGCTTGCTTGCATGGTTGTCCTTCATCTAGTGTTCTGCCAATCCTATTTAGGATGACTCGAGTGAACAACTTGTAGATGACAGACAATAGGCAGATCGGGCGATAGTTGCCAATGTCATGGATGTCTCCCTTCTTGAACAGTAGTACAGTCCTGCTGGTTTTCCACTGGGACGGAACTTTACATTCAGACAGGTAGCGTGTGAAGAGTCGAGCTAGTGTATT